ACCTATTCAATGTTTTATTTAACACATCACTTTGTTGTTATTTTATTTCTCTCCCTTATTCTCCCAATAGTTATATCTAACCTGACTTTTTTTCTTAATTTATTTTTCTTTTTTGATAAATTTTCTTTAATTACAATCTGATGTTATCTTATATCTTTATATATTTTTTTTAATATTACAATTAGAGACCACCTATAATGATTCTATATTAAAAACAATTAAGGGCACTTTAATTGAAAAGTTTATTCATTTAAAAAAGAGAAAAGGGAAATGATTTAGGGTGCTTAGTGTGTGTGTGTGTGTGCGTATAAGGCTTTATATATGTATTAAATCCAATAATCTATATAATTTAGATGAATAGCTTACTAATTAGACAGAAATAAGTAGTTTATTCTGTTAAAAAAAAAAGAAAAAAAAACTAATAAATTTTAATTAAATCAAGTTTTATTAACAAGTTTATTAAGATGTTAATAAAAACAAATTTCATGTATGAACTGACCTTTTTACAATGATTTATCAGCTGCCCGATAGGGAACTACCGATAACTATAAGTGATTATTTGTCTGAAATAGAAGATGAAATAGGGCTATCAAGTACCATTAGTTTTATCTATTTAGATGGAGTACGCATTTCAATGTCTAGTACTATGTCAAGCTTAAACGGGTTATTGTAGCTTCCAGATAGATCAGTTTATTCATTTATTTTGAGTCACATTTTCACCCTAATAACTATTTGATTATTAATCTGGACTGTTTTTATGTGAACATATGTGTGTTTTCACGGTTGAAATCATGAGTTATTTAAAGGTAGACCACTATGATAAGCCTGGAAGCACTGGACGGCCGTTTCGTCCTATTGTGTGACTCCTCAGCAGTACACGTCCACGATCCCGCCTCTATAAAACCTCTTGTGATTATAATCATATGCTCACTAGTGGCTGACTTCAAGATATATGTCCTGGAGTTCTAGTGAGAAGCAGTGACCAGTGGAGTTCAACCACGTCTGTTGTGAGATATCAAGTCACTGGAGAAAATCGGTGAACGGTTGTTGAACTTCGTGGATTAGTTGAAGTTAGACATTAACACTGTTGGATATTGACCGATTCAGTGGTCTATTGGTTAAGTTCTCTGTCGTGAGACCGGTAGACCCTGAGTTCGTATCTCGTTAGGCGGAATCGTGGATGCGCACTGCTGAGGGGTCCCACAATAAGACGAAACTGCCGTTCAGTGCTTCCACGTTTTCCATGGTGGTCTAGCTTCAATTGACTCATGATTTCAACTATGAAAATACTAAATCTCCACAAAACCCCTTCTGAACATGTATTTTTATCGCTTATCGTATTCATTACGTGTATGTAGCTTATTTTTGTCTTACTATAAATATTGAGTCGCGCTTTAACAAAACGAGTTGAGTCATTCACATTCTCTACCTCGCTTTGTTTTCCTGCTTTTTATTCTGAATGTTTGTCTGGACAAATGAATGCCTGAAGTAAATCCATCTAACCCAAACTAAAGTTGGCTTCTTGTCACCGCTGTCACACAAATGAGGTTAGCGTAGGTAATATACAAAATTAAAAAAAGTTCATAGAACTTTCATACATCCATCCAGATGGGAGCCAGATGCTGGACTACAAAAGATATTTACGTGATGCTCTAAGAATGATTTTTGTGATGCATGCTATTCATTAGCTATACATTTTCGTCTGCTTAGGTTATTAATGATCGTATATAAATTCGAATTATTGTCACCCAGATCCGGAGTCATAGAAATTACTGCTGAATTATTCTGATGTAACTGATTCTTTAATTTAAAATTAAATGATTCTTTTATGTTGTCAAATGCTTAAAATATATATAGGTCAGGCTTTACTTTTAAACCGTCTGATGTATTCAAACATTAAATAAGATTAAATTCGCTGAAAAATTCCCATCATATTAAAACAATTATATGAACGAAGAATATTCTTTTCAATAATTTCTCATCAGGTTCTACAATTATAAATTAATAATCCATAAAGAAGATTGGCCAAGTTTAAGGCAGAGTACATCAATTGAAGAAACTGTAATATGTGAATCAAGGATTGTTTGTCATATAAAATAAGATCGAATCGTTAATGTTTTTGGGATGACTAATATGAAGTGTTAACTTGAATCAGTTTATAGGTGAATTAAAATCGTAAGATAAATTATCAGAATATATATAGTTGACATGGGGGTGAGAGATAGAACAATGGGATTACAAATCGGAAATTACGTAATATGTAGAATTATATAAATTAGGTCAGATATAGTAGATAGGGGGTGGATGATAAATAAATTTCTATAAAAGGTTAGCAGGTGTGATAATAATAATAATAAAGATAATAATAAGAATAAGAATAATGACTGATAAGATGTGTAGATAAACTAAGTTTAAGATATAGAAATGAACATTAATCAAATTAATGTCACCATATTACAAAATTGATTATTAACAAGTTGACCCTGAAGTTGGCCAGGGTAAAAGGAGTGGCTGTACATATTTCTTTTGGATGCAGAGCTCTGGCTTTTTGATCCGAATAGCAATTGCCTCAGCCGTCTGCAGGATTCTCTGTCTGACAGAATTAGGTAGACTGCTATTTACACGATATATTACTGTGAAGGATTGCTCAATGTCGGCTCTATGTCCCGTCTGAACTAAATGGGCTAAAACAGAGCTGTTAACCGTTCTGACTACACCTTTGCTTAACCACACAATCCTTGATTCACATATTACAGTTTCTTCAATTGATGTACTCTGCCTTAAACTTGGCCAATCTTCTTTATGGATTATTAATTTATAATTGTAGAACCTGATGAGAAATTATTGAAAAGAATATTCTTCGTTCATATAATTGTTTTAAGATTAAATTACTTAAATTAGTAAGTATATAACCAGTTTCGTCCATAAACCTATACACCCCTATGAGATAGTGTATGATTATTTTGTACTTTTTCAAGTGATAATTTGGGATACATTTCATCTCACTGAACAATACTGAAAAGTATTTTTTTTACTTTTATAATAAATAACTATTGATTCTAATTATGCTAGTCGGTTCGCTTAAACTATTTGTAGCAATTGGTCGTGTCGTCTAGACGACACGATCGTGTCACATCCCACTGTGTTTACCAATTTAAATTTGTTTGTGTGTGTGTGTGGTCACACATACATAGGGAGGAGCAATGGTGATCTGAAAATTAGGGTGGGTGAACATGTGCCAAAATGGTTGCAAAAACAAATACAGTCGAATGACCCAATAAGAGTAGAGGATAAACACCCATCATCCTCTGTTGCTAAACATATAATCGAAACAGGTCATAAGATTGATCTTAACTCAGCTTTTGTTGTGTTGTTTAAAAGTGTAAAAGGACGTGTACTAAGGTTTATTGAAGCCTTAGCCATACGAAAATTCAAACCCCCTTTGTGTATTCAAAAACAGTTTGTTCTCTCCTTAAACCTACCCTGGTAATAAATGCTTATTATCCAGAGTGATTAGGTGTCAAGTTGTTTTCACATTATTTTATCATTATTATCCTTGTCTATTTCTTAACCTTATTACCCGTCTAGATGACCTTTTATTTTTTTTTATATAAATGTTCTTAACAAGTATATGTGTGATCAGATTGTTCGAAATATATTGCGCTAATATAGTTCTGATAATCTTCGTCTTCTTATTACATTAAACTATTTATATTCCATAAGTATTTAATCAACCTTCCTGAAATATCTAGATATTACTCAGTTTTGAATCACAGATTCACTAAACATCAAACTGACTTCAGAAAATGATCATTTTGAAAATTAATGAAGTTAAATGAAAATCATTTTTAACTCTATTTATCTCCATGGTAAAATTTTTCACAAATTGGAGGGAAGTAAAAGCTTAAGAAAAAATCCCAAAGTAATTCATCGCAGTCACGTGACTCCAATTTTCTTTTTTCTGGATATACTAATCAATAAACTATGGGAAGTATTAAAAAAACAAATTTTGTTAGATATACTGTTTCACGTTATTATGATAATGTTTCCCATCATTTCAGAGAAATATTCATTGATATAGTTAAGATCATGAGTCAATTGAAGCTAGACCACCATGGAAAACCTGGAAGCACTGAACAGCCATTTCGTCCTATTGTGTGACTCCTCAGCAGTGCGCATCCACTATCCCACCTCACGAGATTCGTACCCAGGACCTACCAGTCTCACGCCAGAGCACTTAAACGATAGACTCATGACATTAACTATATAAAAAAATTACTAATATCCCCACAAAAACTCCCTTGAAATATTCATTGAATTGTTAGTTTTAGTAAAATGTTAAAGTTTATTTCTCTATGGGGATCAATTGAGACTGTGATAATGCTTTTATCTGGGAAATAGATTATTTTTAATTGAATACCTATTGGATAGTTTTTAGTTGATTTTTTATTCAATGATGACTACATATTTGTTTAGTCATATGTCGTGGTGTAATTCTATGAGTTACGTTGTAACGCGAACTCTAGTTTAACTGACTCCACTCTGTTTGTAATATGTTGAGTTATTGGTATGTTGAAAGTAGTTGACAAGGAACCCCTGAATTTAGGTTTTTGCTGTATAATGCTTGATAGAATTCGATTTTCAAACAAGACGTTAGTCACTACACTGGGACTAGTCAATTACAAATCTTTCAGTACTTCATGAATTTAGTATTTATCAGAATAGTTCAACAGCAACGTCTCAAGTTGTAAAATAAATGATACTATTTTAAATTTATCAGGGAGCATTACTTCCCTCAGGATTTTAAGAATACTGTAGAGATACGCACCAAACCCAGGTTGAGCATAGATTTATGTAATTATCTCTAACTGCCTAACAACTATTAATTATAATAAAGATTTATAATAAACAGCATGATTAGAATTAAACTTTTGTGTAGCTTAGCTGACGAATATTCACAATGTTTTTAATTTGTTTGGTCTTTTTTTAATTTTCCGTAGCAACTTCATATGAATGTAGCAGTTTCAGAAGTTGATGGAGGAAGTGCTGATTCCGGACAGGGAGCTAGTGAAGAAGAACCTGTGAATCATGATTTATCAAAGTGTGAGTTAACATTATAATTTCTTTCCTATATAAATATAGTCTCTTAGTTGAAACATAACACATAATTATACCAAATAGGTATTATAAATCTTCATATAAAATATGTTTAGAATATAATTTATGGACGACCTTTCAGCTGCGCTAAGGTAAACTTGAAAATATCAACCTACTGACTTGGGCTAAATGAGGGTTTTAAACCAGTGTGAAGGATAAGGAATATGACTTAGAGTTGACGGTTAGGGATACGGATTAGATTTATAGTTTTCATCACGAACTGACATCAGCTAAAATGTCAAGACGATATTTAGCCAAATGGATAAAAAAGTTTTGAAGCCGAAATCCAAGACCTGTTATCGTAAATCTAATTGGTTCATCCATAAGTAATAGTTTCGCCTAAAATATTATTTTCAAATCACTCTTAACAGTGATTTTTAGTTAATTAGTATATAAACGCACCAATTATTTTACGTTTTTCACGGAGTTATTTAATAAGTTAATGTCAAAAACTCACTTGGTGTTGTTTATTTGTATCTTCTCATTGTTATTTAGGGCTGAAATTGATCAGTCCTAAATAAAAATGTGGAGACACAAGAAAACAACATCAAGTGAATTTAAAACTTCACCCTATTGTACAAGCAGGTGGCTATCAGTACTTAGTAGTTAAGTGGATGAGGCGATGGAGTTTGAAGAAAACGGTACTTATTTAGAGTTCCGGAGTGAAAATCAACTCTGAGGTTCAGGTAAGTCCAGCTGACGAATGCAACATTGGACGAAATGTGTGTGTCCTGGATTCCACTGCTAGCCATCATGCATCTTTGCTTTTAAAGTCAAAAACATCTATTGATTTCTTGTATTGTAACATTTCATGAATAATGTATACAATGTACACCCATACTAAAAATATACATAACACATAACAGAATGATATGACTTTCAAGTTATTCTGTTAATCGCTTAAATAAGATTCTATGAAGAATGGCATTTGTTATAAACTATCTATTTGTATGGATGATTTTATAAATTCCTTCAAGAAAATATTTTGCAGAAACTGTCCCTCCCTGTTTTTCTCCTTCCAAATCTATTTCATTGGATTATACTCCTTCAATAACATCTTCAAACCTTGATCTTTCCGATTATTGTTTATACTCATACTACTTCTACCACTATGGGATTCGAATCGACAACTGCATCTCTATGTTAATGTGGTATAGTCACTCGAACTGATGTACATATGTACGAAGTTCTACATTGTGACATTGACTGACTGACAATACAAACTGGTGAAAAATTATTTTAATTATTTTTCCTAATATTATTTCGATTTTTTTCTCATAAAGAAAAAAAAACTGAATGTCTTCTTCTTTCGACTCATTTGTAATTTCATTTATTGTTGTCATATTCATCAATTACAACCCCCCTTTTCTTTTTCTTGTATAAAATTTGTCACAAATGAACTACGAATTTTTATTTGTAAGAAAATTTTACAAGTTGACAGAAAAAAATTTTTTCTTTCCAAAGTTTTAACAGAAATTTTTTTATAATTAAAGTACAGATTTTTCTTTCTTTATTTTTCTTTTGGACAGAATAATAAGATTGTTTCATTTGTATGTATAAATGAATTAGATTTAATGTTTATTATGGAAAGAAAGGAAATTGATTGCTTAGAAGGGATAGTTATGGAACAGGACATATATATATATGGAGATGTTGTTCCTTTTATAATAGGAACACGTTTTTGTCTTTCTTAGTGAAGGAGTGATGATTGATTAAAGTGATAAATAATACTACGTTTCTAACATCATCATCGTAGTACTGACTTCTATAAACTTGACTTTTACTTAACGAAACTTTAATGAAAATTGACTTAAAGAAGTATGAACTATGTGTAGACGAATTGATGAGCGATGGCCTCTGAATTATGAATTGAAAGGAGCCATAAATGAGTACAAATTATGAATTCTACTACAGTTCTAGTTAATCTACAGTAATCAACGAAAATAAAATAACGTTGAGTAAGAGTTGTATATAAATCTTGGAGAAGTTTATCATCTGATATTTCGCATATATACATAACTTACTTACTTACGGCAGGTACCCCTCATGAAGTAGCATAGACCTCCCACCACCATTCCCCATCCATTCCTGTCCTGGTCAATCCTTTCGAGTTCTTTCCAGTTAAATTTCATGCTTTTCACATTTGCTTCTATTTACCGACGTAATGTGTTTTTTGGCCTTCCTCTTTTCCGCTTCCCTTCACAATTCCAAGTTGAGGCTTGCCTCATGATGCAGTTTGGTGATTTCCGAAATGTCTGTCTGATCCACTTCCAACGTCCTTTCCTAATTTTCTCTTCAGTTGAAAGCTGGTTTTTTCTCTCCCACAGAAGGCTGTTGGTGATAGTATCCAGCCAGTGAATATTGTGTATCTTGCGTAGACAATTGTGTTTGTAAATACTTTTACCCTCTTGACGATGGATGTAATAGTTCTCCACGTTTCAGCTCCGTACAGTAGGACTGTCTTGACGTTCGTATTAAAGATTATCACTTTGATATTGGTTGACAGTTGTTTTGAATCCCAAATATTCTTGAATTAAAGGAGTGCTGCCTTTGCTTTGTGAAACCTTGCCTTTACATCTGCATCCGATCTTCCTCGTTCATCAATGATGCTTCCCAGTTACGTGAATGTTTCCGCCTCTTCCAGAGTTTCGCCATCCAGTGTAGTTGAGTTTGTTGGTGTTCTCCTTGTTGTATTTGAGGATCTTGCTTTTTCCTTCGTGTATGTTGTGTCCTATTGATGTAGAGGCTGTTGCTACATTTGCTGTCTTCGTCTGTATTTGTTCGTGTGTTTGAGATAGGAGGGCTAGGTCATCATTCATTTGGTTCTAAGATGTTCATTGTATTCCGATATACAAATAGACCTTACATAAGTTTTCATCTTCATCCGTATTATTAAAACTTTATTCTAGTTAATGTAGTTGGAGAGTAGCTAATAATGAAGTCTAGAACTTTCATTTCATTCTATTTGGAATTTGTCAGCTGTATTCAATTGCATCTTAGTATTATTGTTCACAAACATTTATTTTCATGATGGAGAGATAAAACGGTTCTTATAATAAAACCAAAGAAATATCCACTTATAACTGTAAATTTTACTTAGTTTTAGTGACTGAGTCAGAAAATTCGTATTCATAATTATTGTTTTAAATAATGATCCATTTTGACGATATTTTTAATAACGCGCTTGCTCCCATTTTTACAGTTACTCAAAGATCTGAATAATGAAAAAATATGTCATCCCGAACTTAAACTCCATAATTTTAAGTCGAACATCCAAATGCTACAACAGGAAGCATCTCATAAAGTAAGCTTGTAAGGAATCCAGTAGTCTCTAGCCCAACATGACTGATTTCGTTAGCAGAAACTTAAAGAAGTCAAGGTAACCATCATAATCGAATGTGTTAACTAAATTATTTACCATGATGAGTTTTGAGAAATTACGAAATATGATCTGAAAATTCTTAACAAGCGTGTACGTTCTCACTTTCAATAGTACGTCGTGATTTAGGAATAAAGAGTGATTTAACACCATTTTCAACACATATCGTCGGCTTTCCAGGCCATAGAATGACAATACGTTATAATGTTCAGTGATTATCAGATAAAACTCATTGATTTCACCTATAAAGTTATTGATTGATTCTTTTTATTCACATTTCAGTTCGGTTGAAATATACACGTCCTTATAATTCAAAAGAACTATTACTTACCAAAACACAATGCAGTCCAATATCATCATCTAATGGTTGCTTGATTGATAGTCCTACGAATAAAAATGCGAATCATTGTTCTATAAATGAATCAATCCTTTGTACACAACCTACTTTACCTACTATGAATACATTTACAAATCATCGATCATCATTAAATAAACAATTTATTTATGCATTACATAATGGTAGTTCACAACGTCAATCATTAGTTTCAAATGATATCCTACAACCTAGATGGCGTAAACCATTATTTAGTAATACTGATTTAGGTCATCATAATCATTTATTTGATGAATTTCCATTAACAAAAATATCTACTAAAAATCATTCATTAACACTTCCATTAAATAATAAAACATTTATAACTGGTAATAATGACTATCAACAAAGTCATTCAACAAATCCTCATATCGATCTAACCAAATGAACATTATGCTAAAGAACGAAGAATACATAATGATCTATACTGGTTAACTCTATTATTATCTTGCCATGTTCTGTACTTATAACCTATATATATATATATATATATATATATATATATATATATATATTGGAGGATGACCTAGTCAGTCTACCTACAATGACATGTCAAATCCACATTCCAGTATTTTCATTTATTTTCAAATTATTTTAATTTTAATATAAATTCTCTTTATTATTATTAATTTTGTTTTATTATTATTATTATTATTTATAAAGGTTATTTATCTTATTCTCTAATATTCATTCCATAATTAAATAAAACAAGAACAGAAATGAAGAAATATGGTTTACTTTTGTTATATCTTGTTCCACTGAAGAAGATTGAAGTGTCGAAGTGTCGTTTTTAACTTTTCTTTCTAATACCTAATCCTAAACTAGTTGAGAAGCCCTTTTTGTCAACATTATAGATAATACCATTAACACATGTAAGCGAACAATATTGTTTTCAGTTAGATCGTCATCAGGCATTACTCAAATATACATGAATATTTATACAAAAATGTTAAACTAATCAAGGCTACTTGAGTCAATCATCACAATGAGAAATAGAATACATCACCGAGCATAATAGTTAAAAGTATAAATTGATGGTGGGAAGTTAAGTGTACTGATAGTAGTAAGAATATTAAAATAAGGTAATAAAAGTCTTATCAATCATTAAACATAGGAAATCGGAGGTCAAAAGTGGGTAAATAGACTTACAATAGTGATCACAAAACATTAAAATCATTACGTAATAAGAAGTATGTAAGTAATTAGATAGTAAACAATACAAACGGGATACAAACGTTTGACCTCCTATCTCCTATGTTCAACTATTGATAAGTCTTTTATTACCGTAATTTAATATTCTTACTACTATCAGTACACTTGTTTTCCCACTATCAACTTGTACTTTAACCGAGCATAATAGCTCGGTGACATATTCTACTTCATTATGATTACTGACTTAAACAGCTATGATCGGTCTAAAATTTTCGTATAAATATTCATGTATATTAAGAGTTAAACCTGATGACGATCTAACTGAAAACAATTGCTCGCTTACATCTGTTGTTATAATTTTCAAAATGGGAATCTTTAATACCATTAATACTGAATGAAACATTATCCAGAAGATTCAAGGAATGTAAAATATGCAATAATTATTGTATCACAGTCCTGTGTAATTTTGATTCAATTAAAGAATGTAGGTCGTATATAAAAGGGAAACTGTCATTCAAAGCAGTCTTGTGAGACATTTCCGCTTTATTATCCCTTTTTCTTAGAAGGAAATTCTGACACTTCTTTTAATACATATATGAGATAAAATTTTACTCTTAACTTGAAACTGTATTCATTTTGTTCCTTTGATCATTTTGTATTTAAATTGAATATAATACCTAGGAACTGATTATTCCATTAATATCAATGTTGCATTTGAAATGAATAAAATATAAGAGGTTTTAAAGCTTTTGTGAATACGATTTCTATTCATTATTGTTTGTAACAGTTTGTATTATTCTATTATTGATATTTATAATTATATTGAGTCATAATATAGGTTATTTGATGAGAAACTTCTATGTAATTGGGAAATCTGAATGGCTTGAAATTCATTGTTTAAGTTCGTGGATGGATTCTATTGAGTATCACCCACCTGAGCTACAAATCTTCTCCACCATCTATTGAGTATTCTCAGAGTAAAACGTTATATCTGTTTATTTCTTGCAGTTATTCAACTGATTTCAGTTTGAAATGCGAGTTAATATCAAAAAAATAGTAAGTTTGAGTACTAAGTGAATTATATAATACATAGAACCTAATGTTAAAGAAAATTAACCAAATAAATGGTTCGTCTACGAAATACAAATGTAATGAATCTACTAATGTGGTGTGTGTTGCTTATGTCAACATAAGTAGTAGAATAGAATGCCTGGCTGCAGAAGCTCAAGAAGATCGAGGAGTAAAGGACGGTAACAGAAAGCAGCTGGTATGAAAATGCAGGAACGGTGAAGTCGGAGACGATTGACTGATATTTGCAAAAGGAGCAGTCAAGTTGAAACAAGTGATTGATCATTTGCAAATGAATTATTTATTGTATGCTTCTCAGATTTTACTGAAATGTTCTGTAATTTAGTGTTCAAATACATTCGATTGTCCTCATTTGTTCTCTCGTTTGCGACACTAGTTCTAATGGTCTACAGATCCTTTGAAAATTTATACCCCGTGTTTCAGAAATTCTCATTTGCGCTATCAGCTTCTTATGAAATAAAAGAAGATCTAGCAGTTGTATGAATGTGTGTGTGATTTATACAAGCAACAACTATGAAGAACTCTAATTGAATAATGTGGCTGATGAGTTATATTTATTTAACACTTATAAAACAGATGTTGATAATGTAAAGCATGAGATGTATAGATTAACCATCATCAAAGCTGATGGAATTCAGTCAATATTTATCATAAATCTTCTCATCACAAAGTTATCATTGGTAAGAAAAGTGGTAGCTCATAATACCCTATAATATGTAGTGGTCGGTATTCGATATAATCCCTAAACTTCGTAAACAGTTCGTTCTGATAACCGTTACTAGATAATGTCCCCAATGGTTTATAAATCACAAGACGAGCACGAAGTTTCGATCGCGTTTACTGTTGCACGACGCACAGATCATCAAAACCATAGACACGCAAATGAAAATCTAATGCGAGTGAGCGAGTCAATGAACAGGATTTAAATGTACATATATATACATAGCGAATTGAGTGAGTCATCGAATCAATTAAGCAACTAACATTAAAGCTAGCAGAATGAATATGTGCGTTTGTGGTAAGCAATGTTCAAGCATACAATTCATACAAGTCTAACATTAATAAAGGTACAATGTTATAGATAAGTTGTTATTGTACAAATGATTCTGTCCGTTAAATAAGTTAATAAACAAACTCACTTGCAACTGAGCTGCTAAGAATATACCAAAATGTGAAATAACTGCAATACCATGGGGATTTTAAAATATGAAGCATTTCAACTATTAAATAGTCCAATTTGGCTTTTCACATAACGTTTTTGTATAATGTTAACTAACTGCCATTAATATTGCTTTAGTGTATGGAAAGGTGGTGTGAAGAGATTAGATTTCTAAACAGAACCAAGTTTAATGAAGTATCAGTAATAAAATAAATAAAGACAACCAGAATGTATTTAGGAATTTAATGAGTTTTTTAAAGGGTTAGCCATATTCAGGTATCAATATTCTCCTGATAGAAATTGTGAATCTTTAACAGCATGAAACGTTTGAACTAATAAATAACTTCTTTTTATATAGTTAAAATCATGAGTCAATTGAAGCATCAATGGAAACACTGGACGGCCGTTACGTCGTATTGTGGGACACCTCAGCAGTGCGCATCCACGATCCCACCTCACGAGGTGGTGGTCTAGCTTCAATTGACTCATGATGTCAACTATTTAATAAAAAAATTACTAAAATCTCCACAAAAGCCCTCATCTAATAAAGATTTGTTAAGCATTTTCAGTTTGCCTCCAATGTTCGGATAAATATCTACCAGTTATTTTGTGAGAAAGATTATTTTACATAAAAGTGGGTCAATTAAAGTCAGTAGAGAAAATTATTTACTGATGAATAGTTTTTGGTTAAAACAATGTAAGTTATTGTGACTTTTGCCATTTTGTAAATAATTAACCAAATCATAATATATAATTTAAATCATGAGTCAACTGAAGCTAGACCACTATGGAAAACCTGGATGCACTGGACGACCGCTTCGTTCTACTGTGGGACTCCTCAGAAGTGCTAACAGTAGGACGAAACAGCCGTCCAGTGCCTCAAGGTTTTCCATGGTGGTCTAGCTTCAATTGACTAATGATTACAACTATACAAACCACAATATGCAAAACGTTTTAGTCAAAGAAGAGCTTTTTGACGACACACTAGGCAAGGTCAACGTAGTTTATGCCTGTTTTTTAAACATTTCCTGTAAAAAACATGTTTACATCTTTTGGAGACCCACATTTTAAATTATCAAAACAACTTTGAAACCACCTATTTCTAGAAAAAAGTCAAGAATGAGAAACTCAAATTTTTGTACAATAATCTTATCACTTATGCATAGAGCGGACGTTTGGATTTTCAAGTGGCAGTAAATATGTTAACAAAAGTAAATTTGAAGGGAATTAATAGCATTGTTATGTAATGTCCAAAAGTAACATGATAAAGCAAAAACAAAATGGCTTACTGTAGAAAATATAATGAGTAGCGAATGCAATAAGTTTTGCTTCTACATACTGTCTGCACCACACCAAATACCTATCAAAAGTTAGTATCTATTAATGGGACTGACATGGGTGATTATTTACCAAATGTGAAGTTCTCCACAAACAATTTGAACCATCCTGATATTATGTGTAGCAACCCAAATTAAAATATTTAGTTCAGTCATTACAACTTAGTCTTCAAATATGATTTGTATTGTTAAACCGAATTACAGCATGTTTGTGATAACTATACTGTTAATACTCTAACTATATTTGCATTATGTATCATATTCTGCATTTTGAAATTTGAGCAAAGTTGGTTCTACAAATAAAGGAAATAACAAAACAAAATGACTGATTTGCTCCCTTGGATTTTTTTTACTTTTGCTTTTGGAAGATGTTTTTAATGGCATTGTAGTGCTGTGGTTCACTAATCGTTCATCCTGATAACCGTTATAATTCCAATCTTAACGGTGCATAAAAATCGAAAGGCAAAGAGAAGCGGCAGCTACAGTTTTATTGACAAATAACGTAGGCCAGAAAGTTATAAGCATATGAGTAAATATCAGTGAGCGAAACAGAAATGACACGCATTGGAGATGGTGGGTAAGTCAACTCACGTTAATCAATATTTATCGTCAGACAACAGTAAGTTACAGACATTTGCTGAATAGGATAAGACATGTACACACACATTCGCTTATATAAAAAATAGTCCGGGTTAATAAGTGAATAATTAACAAGGTCAAAACGGGGCTCATGATGGATAAGTAAATTG